AATAAATTCTACGAACAAAAATCATATAACTGAAATAAAACGAAAGTTAAAGCTAACAAATTATCACGCCAGGTTAAAACATAATTGTTATATCCCAACGAAAATAATGAATGGTAACTGTTGGGATCTATTAATGGACTAATACTATGCATATATTTTTATTGTATAATTGTTAAGTAACTAAACTATGTATATTCATATTCCTCTTATTCTAAACTTTCATTATACGATTCACTATTAAGTTATGCCTTCTCACGCAGGAGTGTTGTTTATGAAATTGAGAGGACGATAAGCAAATGTCCGGCGCTTTAACCGGGTTGGTGGATATGTAGGATCCACCAAGGGAAGTTGGAATCCCCTGATTCCAAACCAATGGTGTGCAAGGGATCCACGATCCTGACGGGAGAAATGGCGTGTGAACCTATTGTTGGTCACCGCCTACCATGGGGCCGCATCTCCTAACGTTGCTCCACCGCCTTGTGGACCAGACCTTTAGGTCGAAGGCTAGGGGAGTGACCCACCAAAGAAAACCACCTGCTTCGGTCTGGACGAACGGGAACTATTTTAAGCCGCACACAACTCGAATGATTTTTGTGGCGCATATCTGTTTGGTGTCTCCCTGTGTTTAAATAAATAAGTTTTACTTATTTTCTTAATTACAGCCTCCCAAAATCATAACCACTTTTGGCTAGATCTCGTACAAATATTTTCTATTTTGTGGTGTGATGTGATCTGTTTGGATTGTATATAAACCCAGTGTGTTTGAAATGTATGATTTATATCGCGGAAGCTCAGATTGGTGTTTCGGACTTAACATGTAGGGAAAATGATCAGTCGGGATTCTAAGCCGTTTGTTCAGGTGTACGCGTCATTTGTTGGTCATATAAATCCGAGTATCTAAATTTCGTAGTCGTATTCGCGGTAATCGTATAAGCTAAGTACGTAACAATAACATCACCTTCTTATCTCTTGTTCTAATAGTTTTCCTTATAGTTTTATAATTGTTATTATGCATTTCTTATAAATTATATTAAAATCTAACTTTTAATTATTTCTAAGTGGCAAATTCTTAAAGTTTGGTAAATTGAACACGAAAAAAAGCATTTTTTTTCTCAATCATATAATAATGAGTTTTATTTATTAGTATCAGATGGGGGTTTTGTGGATATTGTAGTAAGTTCAATAGTTGAGATCATGAGTCAGTTGAAACTAAACCACCATGGAAGCAGTGGACGGTCGTTTCGTCCTATTATGGGACTCTTCAACAGTGCGCATCCACGATCCCGATCGCGGGATTCGAACTCAGGACCTATCAGCTTCGCGCACGAGCGCTTAACCACTAGACCACTGACCTAGCATCCAACAGTTAACGTCTAACTTCAAATAATCCCCGTAATTAAGTGACACATCCACCATTGTCATCAGTGAGTTACTATCTCACAACTGACCCGGTTGAACTCCACTGGTCACTGCTTCTCACTAGAACTCCAGGATATACATCTTGAAGTCAGTCACTAGTGAGCATACGTTGTTTAGTATCAGAAGGAGTTTTGTGAAGATTTTAGTAATTTCAATAGTTGAAATCGTGAGTCAATTGAAGCTAGACTGATAGGTTCTGGGTTCGAATCCGGCGAGGCTGGGTCGTGTATGCGCACTTCTGAGGAATTCTACAACATGACAAAAAAGCCGTCCAATGTTTCCAGGTTTCCCATGGTGGTCTAGCTTCAATTGACTCATAATCTCAACTATTGAGATTTTATTTATTAGTGTAATAGTAATGAATTCTCATTACAAATTTCATTGATTAATTAATGATCCATAACACTAATGACCATTAATCACAAGAAATGATTGTGATTAACTTGTTAAATTTTATAATTATTCTCTATGATTTTTCATTCAAATGAAAATTATTCCGTTTTTAATGTAATTTTTGTAACTAATACTCATTGAACTTAATTGTTATGTAACTGAATGAATTCAAATATGATTTTATCAATAATATATCACTATTACAAGAATTATCTCACTTTCATTTCATAAATAATTATTGTAAAATTGTATATTAATCACTAAGTCTATCTAATTGGTATTGATCTTATTTCCTACGAAGAATAGTCTCTCAACTGTTGGTAGATGCAGACTACTTGGTTGGGGTCCGCGTGACTATCGTAACCAATGGTTGGAGACTCTTGGTGACATGGCTCAGAATCGATCACAATGGCGTCGGTGTATACACTCTCTGTCTTCCCTTAAACTAAGAAATTAAAATCAATTCATATCTTTCTTTCTACGAACCAATTCTTTCTTCTTGTACTATATCTCTATATGCAATCTTTCTTTTATATATTACCACCTTTGACCTAATTACTGCTATGAATCCGGTGTTTATCTTGTTGTGCTGATGCAGTATGGCAACCTGGACCGATGCACATATGTGCCTGGTCCTACGTTGTAGCTGACTGACTGACTCTCAACTATTTATAGTTCGGAACTATTATAGTTCATCTCAAAGGATAACAAAATAAAACATTGGTTTCATTCACTATTACAGGTTCAATAGTTATATCAATAACCATTGTAATTTATTATAAATTCATTATCATTAAAAAATCATTCTTAACTGTTTCAAAGGTTGTACGTAAGCAAAAAAAGCTTAAAAAGTGATTGGTTTTATTCAAGATTTTTGTTATAATACTCCAGTTACTTTACTTTTCTTCTATCTTCCTTTCTTTTAAATTCAGAGCTTAGTATCATTCATTAGTTTTTCATTGCTGAATGTCATTCTGTTATAAGAATAGAATTATGACAACTGCATGCTCTGAATAGAAGACCAAATCAGAGCATTTTAATTGGTTGATTTTCGATTAATCAATCCTAATAGAAAGATTGTGAAAAAAAATGTACTGAACTCTTCTCTCATAATTTCGATATAAATTCTTATAGTTTTATCATATTGTTTCGCTTATTCGGTATATTTTTTTTGTTTCAATCTTATTCTTTTGTTGATTTGTTGATGAGTCGAATGAGTGCTGTAGAGGAGTTTATTTATTTAAACACATGACTATTGGTACAGAAGGGCACCAAATACACATGCATCACATAAATCATATTTATAGTTATTGTTACTTAAAATTAGTTCATATATGAAAATAACTGTAAACATGAGTTTCCTCTTCTATTTAACATTGAACTTATCAACTTGGTTGAACAGGATTATCAATACTTATTATCGTATATAGATTCTAAATGAAAGCCGAATATATAAACTTGTATTTGGTGCATGTTCTACATGCTGATCCAATTTTACCCCTCTTAATGTTTTAACATAGCTCAAGTTAATTTATCATATATTAGAAGAAGACACTCAGAATCTAAATATTAGTAATAATACCTAGAGTCAGTATGTTCCTCTCAATAAGTATGATTTTGTTTTTCTCTATAAATATCATGTCACATATTTGCTTCTATTTTTCTTTGTGTCATTTACAATAGAATGAATAAATCAGTTGTCTCTCTGCATGGTTATTTAGTTAATCTTTGTTCGTCTTTAAGTTTGTATAAGTGTGTATGAAATTATTAGGTCTATTTATGATTGACTTGAATGTATATCTACTTTGTGTAGTCGCTTGTTTTTCAAATTCTTAGACATTATTTAATAATCTTGACATTATCTGACAATTGTGAAGTGTTGTGTATGTTATCAGAAGTGTTTTCTTCTTTATAAATTGATGAAATTGATTTAGTTAATTAAAAAAATAAGTTTCCTGTTTGATTGATTGCTGGATGATTTATTTTTAATGCAACTATGTTGTATTTATTCACAATTTCATTGGAATTGTGTCCTCTAATCTATATAGTTTAATCGTGAAGCTTTCATTATCTTTCTTGGTGTCATCGTCAAAACAAATAGGAGTAAGCTACAAATTTGAAATTTGACCTGATAATGTTGTCTATAAAGATAGTGAAAGTCTCACGATCAGGTTATTCAACTGAGAGAACAAATTTCATTAAAATTAACCACCACAATTACAAGTCCTTAACACAATCTCAAAATTTATTAACAAGACTTTTTTAAAATAAATTTTTCACAGCTTCTCCCATCTGTAACTTGGTGTTTTTGTCTCATTCTATCTCTTGTCCCATTATTGTGTCGAAATAATCAATATTAAAGCAGATAACTTTCTCTGTTTTCTCTTATTCTAAATAATTTCCAACAAATTTCTGTACATTTCTAGTCACAGTGAAACGAATATCAGTAGTCAGTGACAATCCTTATTTCTATTATGTATTATATGTTCTCATCTATAGATGAGAAATGTATATTCAGTTGATGATAGTCTCCATATAACATTGAAAAGTTAGCATGGTAATATTCATTGTATTGGAAAGTATTTATAATTGTCCAATTGTATGATTAATATTGATAACTGACATTTTCATGAATTTTGCTACACACAAAAATTCTAAAAAATAAATCAGTCCTTAATGAACTTAAAAGTAACTAATTTGTTAGCAATACTGTTATTTTTGTGTATATTTCGTTTAATATTCAAAGATTCTTATAAACAATATGTAATTAAAACATTGAATTCACGTTCAATGTATCATTTAGTTTGAACAATGATTTCTATAAATAAACTTGCCTCTTTATCATTTTAAATTGATATCATGAATGAATGAATGAATGTTAGATCACTATTGAAAACCTGAAAGCATTGGACAACCGTATTATAATTGCCTGCACGTTAAATCTGATACATCTTAAATCCTATATGCGTTAAGATTTTTTATAACACGACCGAGCAGTAGTGTAGCAAGACATGAATTTATTACTCACAAATGGTCTTGGGGTTTGTTTTAACGGAAACCTATGAAATACATGGAAAAATTCCTTTCATAGTTATTCAAATAAATATGCCTAGTTTTGGTTCAAATAACTATACTTACGTTACTTTTATATTTTGAAAGATTGACCTTTGGTTGACTTCAGTTATATTATGTGATGATAAATAAATTGAATATTGTCATTTCACATTATTCTAGTTGTCTAAGCATATCTCCCTATGGAAAATAGAAATAAAACAGGCAGACACATAAAACCTGTTTAATTTGTGATTTGATTGTTCGTAATTTACTCCTTTGGTTTCTTAACTGACAATTTTAAACAAACTATAGACATGATTATGATTAAAGTTGACAATGTTTATAAATGTAGGAAATATAAGATTTATTCGTCTTGTTTTATATTACACATTCCTAATAAATTAATGTGTAATATTTATAAGCATGACATTTTCAATAGAAAAGGCCTCATATGATTAATACAAATTTGTTTTGTATTTTAAATGTTATACAATAATTCTATAGTAAACTATGATCACATGTGTTTACATCGATTTGTTCGGTAGGAAATAGTTGTTTATTTTTATTTGTTGTAAATATGCTTGTATTTCCATACACAATCCTTATGATTTGTTTTCAATATGATGATTATTTTAAGGAGATAAGAATTTGAAGAGACAATTTATCATTTTTGATAGATTCACTTGATATTGTTTTTACTTGAATCTTCCCATTGATGTTTTTGGACTGAAATTGATCAGTCTCTTATTGGCATATGTGCATACTGTGCGTATACCTCGATATTGCCTTAATTTACAAGCATTATAAGCAAAGATAGATAGTGGCTAGCAGTGGAATCCAGGACGCGCGTTTCGTCCTGTTTGGGACTCGCCAGCTGGATGTACCTGCACAAGCAAGTTGCTATCAGAACTCAGTAGCTAAGTGGATAACGCGATGGCGTTTGAAGCGAACGGTACTGAGTTCGAGTCCCAGAGTGAACATCAACTCTGAGATGCAGGTACATCCAGCTGACGAGTCCCAAACAGGACGAAACGCGCGTCCTGGATTCCACTGCTAGCCACTATCCATCTTTGCTTATAATTTTTGATAGAGTTTTGTTCTCTAAGCTGAATGGTTTAGTTGTGGAGCTTTCATCGTTCTTCTGAATGATATTATCAGCACAAACTTCAGAGAAGAAAACTCTATCAAAATCATCCACATGAGCTACAAATCTTCTCCAACATCTCAAAAGACAATTTATCAAGTACAAAGCAATGTATGATATATTAGTCGTTATTTACTCTGAAGTAGTGACTTACATTAAGTCACGAAATATCAGAACTACAATTTTTTTTTACTCGCAAACTTGATATACTGGTTGGTTATGAAAAAAGTAATAGGCTGAGTTAATACTCATTTAATATAAATTATAATGATCATCATCCCATACTAATGCACTTATTTAGGAAATTCGTCACTGTAACTGCTACGTAAGATATAAGACGAAATTTCACATTATGAGATTGCAATAAATCAAGTAACTTGTTAAGCTAAATGGTTTCATCTCAATCGTTTCATATTGTTGGAAGTAATCTTCGGATAAAATGTCAACTGGAAATCACAGCAGCATTGAACAATTAATCTTTCGGATTCTTCAGTAGTACATATTCATCTTATGTAGTCCATACAATTATTTTAATCACCAATAATCATGTAGTCACACTGAACTGGCTTTGTCATTAGTTGATTACCAAAGTTTTAGTAAAAACTGTGATATCTACAGTCAATTAAATCAAAGGGTGAGCTAGTGAAGTCGGAGTGCTAGAATGAATGACAATTTCCATGCGTCAATTCTCTATATTAACATGGGAAGAACGATGGTTCTCTTATAATTTCACGTCCGTGCCTCTTCGGTGTATATATTAGTAAAGATTTTGTAAATGGTGATAAATTTTCTCTAGAAGTATTCATAAGTGTTTGATTCAGGAAGAAAGTTTTAGAGTGAATGCCCTGGTACGGCCGAGAGTGGGCAGAGTCCGCTCTCCCTCTCGAAATACTCTCACACGGCCACGCGTATACAGCCTCTGCCAGGGAAGTCCTACTCATTGCCTTCTCGTGGAGGGGGTGTTGTCTACGAAAATGAGAGGACGAAAAGCGAATGTCCGGCGCTTTAACCGGATTCCAAATCAATGGTGCACATGGGCTCCAGTATCCTGCGGGAACAAATGGCGTATGAACCAATCGTTGGTCACCGGCTCCCATGGGACTGCATCTCCTTACGATGCTCCACTGCCTTGTGGGTTAGACCTTTAGGTCAAAGGCTCGGGGAGTGGCCCCCTAAGATAACCACCTGCTTCGGTTTGGGCACCCGGGCAGTATCACAGCCCACACACAAATTGATGAACTCTTTATGCCTATGGAAATTACCTTTCTCGCTTTGAAAAACAAACAATTGATTCAGATTATTATCATTACAATTATTGTCATTATTAATACTAATATTATTATTACTACTATTATTGTCATTATTGTTATTATTTATCATTATTATTATTTTCCACATTATTCACCCTCTTTTATACCTATACAGCGGCTCGTCTTTGGTGGAAATCCGACTATCTAAACGTTCTCGAGTCACTGTCCGGTTGAAAATTGTATGTTACCACCGAATACGAGGACTGAAGCAGATTTTCTGAAACCACGTGCACCATTCAAACTGGCTGCCATCAACGTTCGCACATTTATGCAGGTCGGACAACAGATAGGGCTGGCTATGTCTTTGGAAAGTCTTAATATCGACGTGTGTTGTCTATCCGAGACCCGTATTCAAGACTCTGGCGAAGTACTACAAATTCGATCTCCATCTGTCGCTTCGAAAAGCTTGTTTTACGTGCGCTTATCCGGGGACCCTGTGGCATCTTCGTCTGGTCTTGCTGGCGTTGGTGTCGCACTAAGCGCTAGAGCTGAGGCAGCACTAGTCGATTGGATCCCCATTAACAGTCGGTTATGTGCTGTTAGATTAGAAAGTTCCATCAAAGTGAGAAGAAATCGGCGTGAGAAACGATGTCTTTTCGTCATCTCCGTCTATGCCCCGACAGATTGCAGCCCGGATGCAATCAAGGATGAGTTTTACCACCAGTTATCAGTTCTTCTCCAGAAAGTGCGTTCGACAGATATTGTAGTACTAGCCGGAGACTTGAATGCTCAGGTCGGGCGTCTAGGCACAGAAGAGAGTCGTTTAGGTGGCCGATGGGGACTCGTTGGTCGCAGGTCAGATAACGGGGACCGTCTACTGCAACTTTGCACAGACCACAACCTGTTTCTGGCTAGCACTAACTTTCGGCACAGTCATCGCCGATGTGCCACCTGGCGTCCTCCCTCTGCATCTCAAGCCTGGACTCAGATTGATCACATCGCGATCAGCTACCGCTGGCGTGGTTGTGTACAAGACTGCCGCTCCTTTTGGAGTACCTATCTGGACTCTGACCATGCCTTGGTCTGCGCCAATCTTGCCTTACTTTTCAGTGGACAACGAAGTGAACGCCATCAACGGATTGATGTTAGCAAGCTGGTTGCAACTTCTGTTGCAAGTAAGTATCGAACCGAGCTAGCCTCTAGGCTAGCTACCACTCCACCGAAAAGTATAGATGAGCATTGGTTGTAATTGCATGACGCCATGAAAATGGCGGGAACAGTCAGTTGTGGGTTTGCGAAACGTCCCGCTTTTAAGCACTGGGTTTCTTCTGGTTCCTTACAACTCATTGAAGCCCGTCGGTCTACTCCGGGTAACCGTGAGTTTGACCATAAACGAAGGTTTTTACGTAAGGAAATCGGGCAAAGCTTGCGTAAGGACCGAGAAGCCTGGTGGTCGATGCGTGCTAATGAGCTGGAAGCAGCAGCTGCATCTGGTAACTACCGGAAGCTCTTCCAACTCATCCGAGCCACTGGCAGCAAGAAGTCTGGTGTGAGTGAAACAATCTGCGAGGATGATGGGATGCCAATCACTAACATCCATCGACTTCTGGACGGTGGGCAGAATTTTTCGAAGGGCAGTTCAACTGGCCTGCTGCTCCGGCAACATCGGTCAGACTGTCCTGCCCTCCATGGCCGGTGACGACTGATCCACCAAATGAGGAGGAAGTCCGCAAGGAACTCCAACTCTTGAAGCGTTACAAATCACCTGGCCCAGATGACTTACCTCCGGCTCTTTTTAAAGATGGTGGTGACTTTTTGACTAAGGAATTGACGACGTTGTTTACAAAGGTTTGGGAACTAGAGAGTGTACCAACGTCATGGAATGAGTCGATAGTTGTCCCTATCTTTAAAAAGGGTTCACGTCGTTCTTGTAAAAACTATCGGGGGATAAGTTTACTTCCGATTGCGTCCAAGCTATTGGCTTCCGTCATTCTTCGTAGGTTGTTCAAAACCCGAGAAAGATTGACTCGCGAGGAGCAGGCTGGGTTTCGTTCTGGTCGAGGATGTATTGATCATATTTTCACCCTCCGCCAAATGTTGGGAGGCCAACAATCGTAATGCTTCTTCACATCATGGATGCCTTTGATTCGTTGGACAGAACCGTTCTCTGAGATTGTCTATTGAAGAAAGGTGTGCCTGAGAAGTTTATTAACATCCTAAAGGCCCTATATACAAACACCTCAGGTAGAATGAGGGCATACAACCAACTCTCCCCATTGTTTCATTCGAGCAGTGGGGTTAGGCAGGGTTGCCCAATCTCACCATTCCTCTTCAACTTTGCCATCGGTGACATTCTGGAAACAGCTCTGATGGATGTAAGTAATGGTGGTGTGGATCTGTTGCCTGGAGAAAGACTTCTCGACCTTGAGTATGGGGACGATATTGTCTTACTGTGCGATAATGCCCAAGGCATGCAATCCGCACTTAATCAGTTGGCAATCAGTGTCCGTAGGTATGGTACGTGCTTTGCACCTTCGAAGTGCAAAGTACTTCTACAAGACTGGCAGGATTCTAATCCTGTACTCACCCTGGAGGGTGAGCAGATAGACGTAGTTGAGAAGTTCGTGTATCTGGGTAGCTCCATAAGTGCTGGTGGGGGTGTGAGTGATGAGATCAATGCACGAATAGTGAAAGCCAGAGAGGCTTATGCCAATCTGGGTCACCTTTGGCGCCTTCGTGATGTTAGTCTGGCTGTAAAAGGTCGGATCTACAACGCGTCGGTGAGAGCAGTTTTGCTCTATGCTTGTGAAACCTGGCCTCTCCGAGTTGAGGACGTTAGAAGACTCTCTGTGTTCGATCATCGCTGTCTCCGAAGGATTGCTGACATTCAGTGGCAACACCATGTTAGTAATGCAGAGGTTCGGCATCGTGTGTTCGGGCACAGAGATGATAATGCAATTGGTGTCACCATCTTGAAACACCGACTTCGGTGGCTTGGACATGTTCTCCGAATGTCGTCCCAGAGAATTCCACGTCGTGCATTATTTGCCGACTCTGGGACTGGTTGGAAGAAGCGGAGAGGTGGTCAGTGCATGACATGGTGTCGTGGCATGAAAGAAAGCTGCAAAGGACTGGCTTGTGTTGGTCCTTCACGACTCCCTGGCTGGGGTCCGAGAGATGGTGCTACACAGTGGCTAGAGACGTTATCAGATATGGCTCAGAATAGAAGCCAGTGGCGATCCTGCTGTAACCTTCTTTTACTTTCTTCATAAAAAGTGGTTGTGTCTTCCCTAACTGAAAGATTTCTTCTGATTGTACCTTTTCGTTCCGTCGTTACTACCACACTACGTTACTCCAATCTCTTCGTCATTGTTCTCTTTTTCTTTTGCGTTCCTTAGTTTTTTTTCTCTTTCTACTTCTCTTCGAATTCCCATTGTTTTGTGTGGCGCATATATATTGGCGCTCTCTTGTACCAATATTCATGTGTTCAAATAAATAATAATAATAATATCTCTGCAATATTAAGGTCGAAAAATCGACAACATTCTTGAAAATTATCAGAAGGGATTTGTGAAGATTTTAGAAATTTCATAGATTGAAATCATGAGTCAGTTAAAGCTAGACCACCATGGAAAACCTGGAAGCACTGGACGGCCGTTTCGTCCTAGTGTGGGACTCCTCAGCAGCTCGCGTCCATGGTCCCGCACCCCGCGGGATTCGAACCCAGGGCCTACTAGCTTCGCGCGCGAGCATTTGACCATTAGACCACTGAGCCGGCATCCAACGGTGTTAATGCCTCCAGGTTTCCCATGGTGGTCTAGCTTCAACTGACTCATGATTTCAATCTGTGAAAAGTCAATAAATTGTGATTAGTTTGATGACTTGCGTTGTGAGTTACCTTTGATTTAAGCAAGCTCTACAAATTCGCTGCAATAGTAAAGATTTTGTGGATAAAGATGAATTTTACCTAGAAGTATTTTTGGCCATTTCAAAGATTCAGGAATAAACTGTAGTCGTGAATAAATTCGAAGGTTAAATTACGTTCAGCGATATTTCTGTGACACAAAGTTTAGAAAACTGATAATAAGCATTGAGAAACTAACATTTCTTATGAAATCCCGTAAACGTTGTCAGGTTAGATAACTTGTATTGCAAAATACTTTTGATTAATACAAAGTCTTTGATTCACTGAATTGGTTATTTTTGCCATTCTAGTCCAAATTCATTTCTTTTCGTTACCTGTCATTCTCCTGTATCATCGGATTTCTGAAATATACGTTCTTCATTTCCTTTCATAGTCCAATTTTCGTATCTACGTTTTTATCAACGGAATTTGTCAACAAAATACCTCAAAAGTAAATAGGATGTATTTCATTAATGTCAAAAGCATTCCATCGTTATGCAATCAGCCATGGGCGCTAAAATTTTCAATTCCAGTATTAGAAGCGATACAACTATTTAAAATTCATTCACTAAAGTAATACACACATACACCTGTATTCATTCTTGAAATAACATTTAAATTACTAATCACATATTGTTTTTATTTTTATTTCTTCCTCAGATGTCACGTAATGTCGGCTACAAATGGATACCAATGGAAGATTTAAACTTGCCCTCTGCTGTTTGGAATCATCAACCACCTGATCCTACCGCGTGTTTTTATGAAATTCAAAATTCCTGTGGTCTAGACAGTGTTGATGATTAGTAAATATCACTAAAATCAATTGTTTTATCCATGTTTATCAGTGTTAATTATTGTCATTAATTCAGTTGCATTACAACAGACCATTTATCTCATATTTATATTTTATTTGTTTAAATAAATATCTTATTCTCGTTACTTTTCACGCATTATGCTTTGCATTTTCTGGTTTCGTTGACTTTTTTTCTTAGTAAATATTTTAAGAGATACTTTTGGCAATATCCTTTTTGTTGGTCCGCTAACTTCTCTGTTTCTTATCTTGTGATAGACTACTACAGATAAAGAGTAATATTCTTGATATCTAGACAGTTTGACTCACTATTCATTCTGATAATCATCTAATGTGTATTGTTTATTCGCGTCTATTTTTTAATTCTTTTATTCTTTAGTATACTTTCTTATATGCTTTATAGAAATTGGATGGGAAATTCACTTCACTGGTTCCTGATACTACTTTTATCCATCATTCTGTGTAATGATATCTCTTCATTCTATTCTTTGCATATGTTCTTGTTGAAGTGTAGAGTATCTTTTCATTTTTCGTCAGGCACACAATATATTTAGTTTTATTTTTGTTCTGCTTATCTTTAACTTTTAGCTTACTGTCATTGTTGTGATTGTTTTCGTCATTGTATCATCTTCATATCTGCTTCAATGTGCATGTATTTTATTATTCACTGTCTTACTTACACGTTTAGCTTAGAAAATACCAATTATGTTCAGTGGAGAAGGGGGGCTAGTAGAAAAGCAGAATATTTAAAATTCTATAAAATTGGGGAGATATTCATTGTACCTTTTAAATTGTTTGCTATTAATAAAAATGGCTTGTGTTCTTATCTTTCTTCTACATGAAACTAGTGTTCTGTGATACTGTCTAAACTACGTCGACTGTTATATCATATATGTAAGCTGGCAGATCTTGTGCTATTCTTTGCGGATGCAGGGTTCGAGTTGATGGGGATCAGCGAAGTGGATTCCGTCGTTTACTTTAATTAGTGGGATGGTCCGCATAGGGTGTTCACGTTCCTAATCCACACTAGTGAGCATTTTCGGATAAGTTTCATATTCGAGCATGGCTGAATATACGGACTATGCTATTGTCTGACTAAGTGTAAGCTAAACTAAGTTGGATACTGATGGAGGCAAATCGGACATTTACTGTTCTGTTACGTTTTTAATTTAATAGCTGGGTTTATTTGATGGGTTGACTTTTCGCTTATGTGACAAACAGTTCTGCATTTGATAAAGACAATTCAATGGAAAGTATGAATCACTGACTACAGTATCTTATGTCACTGCACCAGCTATTTTAGGAGGCAGCACGGTCTATGAGTAATAATTGTCCTTGCAAGATATTAGCAAGAGAAACAACTAACCTGGATCTACAATAAGCGTTTGTATAGTTATTCGTGAAAGTAATTGTCCGAATGAACAGTAGTTTGTACATCACAGACGATACAGAAATTCCCAAATCGGTAGCTACATATAAATTGTGAAGACTGAAAAAGTCCATGAACATATTGGGATATATTGTGTTCATATATATGTGTTAAATCCGCCGTTCAACTATGCTTAATAATTATCCCGCCATAGCACTGAGCTTTAGTTCCGTATGGATACAACTATCTATTAAATAGAGTTCGGGCATACTTGAAAAGTTATTTGCATCGAAAGCAAAGGTTGTGGATTAGACTAAAGCCACATTTCAGTAGGCAGGTTCTTACTTTCTTGAGGGGAAAGCTAATTAAGCTGATGCCCTCTTTTAGCCTTAAGTTTTTATGATAAACTGTGGTGTCGACTACTCTTACTGGAATTTCGATTTTTACTGGATGTCCCGGGACAACAGTCTGTGAATTCTTCCCTGAAGACTTTCATATACTCCGCAGCTGTGAGTGGCTTCTAAGTTCGTTCATCTATCACTAAACATCATTTCGGTTGTAAGGTCTCTTTGTTTCGATTGGAGTGTGCATGCTAGCGTTGCTGAAAATCCCTTCATGTATATTCTCTGTGTGACAGAAGTCATTTACTTCATTTATATACTGTGTCACGTTTTTATTGTCTACAATAATGTATGGCGCGCTTATCATATGGTTTATTTGAAGTTATTAATACTGACCTGTCCAGGCCGTTATAGTAGAACTCATCGGAAATGTCGAAATTTTTACAGAGACAATTGCTATTGTTCTAAAAGCTAACAAATGGCAGAGGGTTATGACAACATCGAAGCTCAAGTGGTAAAAACATTGCAGACAATCTGAACTGCGTCCGTGCGACTAATAGGTTAGTAATTAATCAACTAAAAACAGTCAACAATACGCCTGGCTTCTGACTAGTCACAAACAGTGATGTGTCTTGTTTTTTCCTGAGTGTTTGCACACTGTCACAATCTTCTCCCGTAATAACTGGAGTGTTTCAGGATATACCCGCAAAATTTCTAACTCAGGCTGAAGCGGATCCTCGAAATTCTTTAAGTAAGCTTAAAGTAACTCATTTTGTTAAGTCGTACCTGTGTTTGAGATACCCAGAAATTTAGCCTCCGGAAAAATAAAAGTCGTTAAAGGTGAACTTAACTATATGCTATAATTTGGTACTATCAGTACCCCTGAGAAATAAATGTCCTTATCTCTATACACGATCTCTTAGTAAGACAAAGTTAACTGGCGGACCGTTTTGGGATTACAAAGCTACTAAATATCGAACTGAACCAGGTAGCGACCCCGTACCTGATACCCATGATGCTACATACCACCTACGAGGTACGAACATATTCACTAAGATTGACTTATTCAACGCATTTCACAGTCGCTGGGGAAAATATTCCTAATACAACCATAACTATGGCCTTTGAGTTGCTCAAGTTTGTGTGTATGTCACTTGAACTACTAAAGTTCTAAAGATTTATGGACAAATCGCTTGATGATAGGTCCTTTCTACAGATATACGTCGATGATTCATTGACTGCTGATTCTGATTTTTGATCACGCAAACAGCATGTGAGGACCTTACTTTAACTGTTAGATGAAAACGGAATGAAGGTACATATTGTGAAGTTTCTCAGACACAACAACCCAGAATGAATCATATCGATTAAAAAGTGGTTGGATTATATTAAACGGTATTTCATTCTGCATCCTTTCACATAATTCAGAAGGTTTCTAGTTTTCACTTACCTCTGTCGTTGGCTTACACCCGATTGTGCTCAACAAGTGCAGCAGCTGACAGATATGCTTAGGAAAAAACAAACGTTTATAAATTGATTTATGAGAATATTAAGAGTTCAAAAAGTCTATAAGTTCGGAAAATTGTACTAACGTATCTAATCAACAATACCCCATTTGCATTAATGAAATGCGCTTCAGGTGAAGTTCTTGGTTTCTTCACTTAGCTGGCTGAAAACGTTACGGAACCGATTACATTTTTCATAAAGTACTGGTTTCAACAGAAACGAGATAATTAGCGTTCCGAAGGAAGCTTCCCAAGTTCCTCCAGTCCTCGAGATTTTACGAAACAAGTTCATCACATTATATACGAATCAGAAATCATTGCTAGCTTACTGAAGCTGAAGGAATTAAAAACACAGATTATTATGTAATGAAGTAGCTGAAAGCAGATTAATGGTAATGAAGAAAGATATGAATTGAAATTTGCCAGTTATGAATGATGTAACTGTAAATTTCAGAAAGAGTTGTAATAGTGAAAGACGCAATAAATAAATAAAAGGAAGGACTTGGCGAATGACCTTACGTTGAGTTTAAGTGAGTTTCAGTTCTTTAGAAAAGAAAGATGAAGCAATTTAAGGAGGCCTGAAAAATTCTGAAGATCAAATGAAAACGTATTTTTTTAAGGTGATATGCTCACTTTAATTCATATATATTTATAGTATAAATCTTTCCATTGATCTGAAGTCAGAACCTAGGTAGATAAGGCGATTGCACTTCGGGTACAGAGCACTATTTTCGGGTCCTGGAGTGAATATCAACTATAGGATACAGGCACATATAACTGATTCCCAAATAGCACGAAATCCTCCCCTGGATTAATATGGTTCAAACCTACCAAAGCAATGCTGAGCCAAGAATGATCTCTCCAAAGCGATTAGATATTTAAAATAAAATATAATGAGCCATGTAAGTTTTCTTCACTAATTTGACTCAGGAGTAACACCCAGAAACTGGAGCCACAACATAGCAAAACGGAATGTAGACATTACTTCTATTCCTTAGGGGTTGTCAAATGCTGGGATTTGCTGCTGGCCGAGCTAGTCCAAGCGACTTCTCAGGAGTCCTTCAAGAGGCAACTTGATATATTCTTAAGGACAAAGGACAGCATAATACTATGATTTGCTAATTTCTTTTTCCTCTTTTATTGTTAACATACGTAGGTTTCTGCCTGGAGGATTTGGTGATCCCCTGCTACTAGACACGGAAGCCTGTTAAACGGTAGCTTCTTCTATTCCGTCCACAACTGTTTGAACATTGAAAGACGAGCGTACTGCTTGATTTGTGGGTCACTTGTTCCTGTATTGGCAGATATTTCTAGTAGGTTTTAACTTTATTTGTGCCTACAAAAGCCTATTTTTTAAACACTTTCCACTTACTTGTGACTCAATAATACATCTTGTTCAGCTTTAAATTGACAATTGTCAGACGCATTTAAGTGCGTCAATTATTTGGTTTTAATAATCTTAAACAATATTAAAATTATAATTTCTCGATGTATCAGTTAGTTGTAAACTAATATAACTTATCACTAATAGTTAGCCAAGTTCTCAAGATTAAATACCGAACACAGGTATACATATATCACTAGAAATGAAGTTTTTAACGGTAAAATCTACGGGGTTAACGTAAGAACGAGATTTGATGTATCCATATCCTAAACCTAGTGCCCTTTCAAGTAATAAACTTTGTTAAATTCTTAGTGAACTAAATTCACTGTATCGACAACAAGGTTCCTGTCCTTTAGCCGAATGAGAAATGATATATTTCCAGTATAACGCTCAA